AATTTGTATTAAACTTTGGAAAAATATAAATGAAAGGTTGACCAAAATGTATGGATAGTTAGAATGTCTGAATGACTACCGTTATAATTTTTCTTCTAATCTTTCACTTTTTCAGAAAACAAAAACAAAAATACAGAAAACGGAGATCGTCATCAAATTTCCTCTTAAGAAGTTAAGAAGTGGGAAGCAACTGGCTGCTCCTGCACCAGTTGATCAAGCTGGTTCATCACATGATCACGACTACCTTAAAAAGGTTGGTTACCTGAATCAAGAACAATTGAAGAGTCAAAGTCGACGTGGAGATATGAATAATCCTCTTAAGAAGTTAAGAAGTGGGAAGCAACTTACCGCTCCTGCACCAGGTGTCCGAGCTGGTTCATCACATGATCACGACTACCTTGGAAAAGGTGGTTTCCCTAAGAAAAAAACAGGCAGCGTTGGCCGCGGAAAACAGCTTGCAGATGTGGACAGTCGGACAAATGCATCGAGCGATCAGCAAAACAGCGACCAAGAACTTTTAATAAATGAGGAACCTGTTGCAGGCAACGCTGAAAGACAGCTTCCAGATTCAGAGAGTCAAGCAAATGCCTTGAATTATCTCAGAAACTGTAAACAAGATGGTATCTTGAAGGAAGACAAAACAAAAGTGAACAAGGAAAAGCAACTCCCAGATGAAGACAGTCAGATAAGAACATTGCCTGACGGGCATAGCTATATCAAGGATGGTTTCTTCCATCGCGCTAAACCCTCCCCGATTAGTGAACTCAGTAAAAATGAAAGAAAAAGGATAAACAGAATCAAACAGCACGATCACTCATACAGCATTGGTGATAATCATGTGGTTTTGAAGCACAGGATGGATGTCGCCTGCACCAAGTTGGCTGAAATCAGGGCTAAGTTTAAATGTCACCATCAAAAGAACAGAAGGCTCTCGGTAAAGATTAAGGCTTTGACGAGGGAAGTGCAGGAGCTAAGGGACGGACAGTTTGCAATTAACAATACTTTGAAGTTTCTAGAGTCTCTGGAGTATAGGCCCAACTTCGGCACATGATTTCTAGCCCGATTTTTTACATTTTCTTGAAATTTCTTTTTTTTTGTGTCATGAAATTAATTCACCAAATATAGCATACTGCATCTCTGTCAAAATAGGTTTTTAGTTATCAAGAACAAGACAAAGTGTTTTGATATGTTTTAACTACAGAATGTTTTCTTTCTTGCAGGGAAAATTTGATACATGAACATGAAATATTGTAAGAAAGCGTATCCAAATACCTGAAGTTAGAAACATGCTGTCCTAACCATTTTTAAAAAATATATCAAAAAACTGTTTGAATGAGATGAGCCCTTAATCTTGTCATGTATTTGAATATACATAAATTCATTTTCTACATCTATATCTTATCTAATTTTTCTCATATTTCATTGGAAACTTGCATTTTTGAAATGGTTCAAATTTTTATTTTGGATGTTATGTATGGGTTTAATCATTGTCATATCTATATTTTATAAAAATACCAGTGTAGTTATATATTATTATTTCTTTTTTTTTGTCTGAAGTTATCATCATAGATTTTTCCCCCTAAATGTATGGTATGTCTTCTTTGAAGAGTTTTGCCCTTATAAGTTCATTATGATAGACTCTACACATTTACAAAGCTATTATTTTATAGTCCATTTTTACATACCGTCAGTTTGTACTAAATACCTAAGAAAAGGATACTCTTTGTAATTGTATTACCCGTAAAAATATTTCTTTCTTGTAAATTCTTATCATTAAAGTGTTAGCTAATTTCTAAGGCTTAACTTTTTTCCTAATGAAAGACTACCATAAAGCTATTTTTCAAAGTGTTTTGCAAGGACTGTTTATGAACTACCATTCATTAATGAATCATTTTTGTTTGGGAATTCAATTGAGAAGCTTTCCGCCTGACTGTTGAATTAAATATTTTGGCTGATATTCGACACGTCTTCTTTATTGTCTCTCTTATTTGCCTCTCCTTTCTAGACCTCTTTCTCTATCTTTCAATTTTTTCTTGATTATCATTTTTTTATATTTATTTCCACATTTGTTATACTTTTTATTTCGTTATTGTTTTCTCTCCCTTTCTCTTTTGATCTTTTTCTTTCTAGATTATACACCCTCTCTGCTTTTCTTTCACTCACTTTCTCTTCTCCATTTTCATTGTTTTTCTTTTTTTGAACACCCTACCTCAGCCAGCTTTTTTCTGTCACCAAATGTTTGTGTATATAATCACTTGTTTATTCTTATCTAATAAAATTAGAGTGAAGCTCCATATTCATGACACTTTATAATAAATGTAGCTCTCTTTATTTCAATATTAACCATTACCATTAACCATATAATTTTCCCGTGCTTTTGTTGTTGTTCGTTTTCTCATTGAAATGAAATGATAAAATATATAAAAATTGTCATTACATATCACAAGGACATGTCAAATAATTGTTGTAAGTGATATTTAATAGGAAAATTTTTTGCTAATTTAAGATTTTTTTTATGTTTAGAAGATGATTCAAATTCAGATGGGAAAGATAACTTAGGACAACTTGGTACCCAAAACAACCAATTAATTGTCATCTGTTGTTGACTTTACTTGCTAGTGGTGATTTGGTTCCATTTCAGTCATCAAATATTTGACTCGACTAGCCATGACGTAGAATTGCGAGGGCGTTTAACAAATACAACAATCAGAGGAACTCCATTTGTTGACATCAAGTTTATCGTTATCATTCGGTTGTTGGGTCCACTGTGAATCGTAACCAATGGCAAAGTCTTTACTTGGCCTTGATCAATTTTATTTAAGTCTATGTAAGAATTGTGAGTTTTTAAAATGATTCATTTCGTTTAAAATGAAGTCCAATAACGACAGAAAAAACAATGTTTTGGTCGCAAGATTGTGTAGTGAGCACATTTTTTTTTTTTGGATCCTCAAAAAAAATTCAATTTGCAACCCCCCCCCCCCTTGAGCGCCAGGGGGGGGGGGGGCCAACCCCCCAAAAAGGTAAAAATCACGTGATTTTACATGATTTTTTTCTCAAGGGGGGGGGGGGGGCCCTGGATCCGCCACTGCATTTAAGAAACCATTAACGTCATCAACTTGTCAAGGTCACATATTTCTAGGGTACCGTAAAAAAACAACCAACAACAACATTTGTTGATCCTTTATTTACAAAAGCACCAAGAAACATTCCACTTAAGTGCACTAATATTGACAAGATCTTCTCGATCTCCATTGATTTCCATATAACAGTGTTATCACACTGCCTGTGCACACAGTCTGCCCCATGCACGCACACACACACACACACACACACGCACAACAGCAGTCAGTTGGTAGAAATAGCAATTTTCGTAAATTTATTTTCTAAAAACTGAACAATAATTTTAAATTTTTATTTCACATATCTTTCAAGCATACCTTTAACTACAATTCTGTGTAGTTTCATTGTTATAGGCATGTGGGAAATATGTTAAATTATTAATTAGAATATTGTCTTTTCAGCCATGTGTGACATGGCCCGCTGATCGCCCATTGACTGTTATTCTGCGTGGTGAAAATGCACCTCAATGTATAAGACTCCCCTACAAAAATCCAATATCCTCACTGTGTTTCACTCATTGAATCAATTTGTTGTTTAAGGTAGCCACAACTGTACTGGAATAACCAAATTTTGTTTTTCTCTGAAATTCAGTCCCTGTGGATTGTATGGCCTGTTGAATGGTTTCTCGGAAAATCGTCATAAATCCTCAAATCTGACATTTTTTTAAAAGAAAACTATACTGTGATATAGCTGAAAGTAAGCAAATTCTTATCATTTGATCGATTTTTCTGAATAATTTGTGAAACATATGAGGAAATAGCTGTAACGGTGATCCAAGTTATTTCCATCGCCATTTTTTATTGGCATTGCAAAAATATTTGGAATATAATGTTAATATTATTTTGGTGTAAATAATGATCTATAAATATATAATTTAAAAAATGCCAACAGAATGAACATTTTCTATATATTTCCTATTATAATTAGCTGAAATGACCTAATTTGCATATTTGATGAATATTCATAATTTTTTTTTTCTTCAAAAAAAAATATATTTCCATACCTGTCTGACATACATAGGTTTCATTAATGTATCATGTTAGGTTTTGATTTGATTAAATATGCGCACATTAATTAGGCGGACTTAGTAATTTTCACAACTTTTTCATATCTGCAGATTCGCAAAAATGACTTATTTTGTATGCTTCTGAGTCAAAACGGTAATAGATATATGATTTTTTTTTTGTGCATTTTTTTACCACAAAGATGATATTTTAGTGTCTGATAATTTAATTTATCATTTGTGTCCAAGAAAGTGATGTATTAAGTCATCAACTTCGTCGAATTTTGCCATTTTTGCCATTTTGACCATAATTGTCTGGCAGGTTTTTTCGGTAATTTTGCGATATAAAATAAATGGTATAAAATCACAACGCATTGACCGATTTCAATTCTGTTTTTTGTTTTTTGAAGCTTTTATAAAGCTTGATCATTTGCAATCATTAACAAGTGTTTGTTGTACTTATTTTTGGTGTGCTATACCTACGTGAATACAAAAAAAAACTACATATTTTATAACCAACCTAACCAACTTGGCATCCAAACAGGCTACGCGGTATTGAACTCCTACGTCTGCGTACAATGCGACGCCAAAACTTCATGGCATTAATTCCAACCAGCTCTAACATTAAATGACTAACAAATAATGAGTAACGAGCACATTAATCCTCCATAACCAAGGTAAATCTTTATCTCACACACCGGGCAAGTATCAGAATCACAGAAACGTAGAGCAGCAGAAGTGAGAGCAAGACGCCCTCACACACAGCCTGGCGGAAATCATCGGAATCGATGGATAGCGCCAAACGAACTCAAAAATTCGATGATAGCGCCGCTGAATGGCACCGCCGTGCGCCATCTTGGATAGTAGTAGCGTTGTGAAAGCGAACTGAGACTACATGCTACATTAGTCTGCGAAATGCCATTTTGTGCAGCTTTCAACTGCACCAATCGCCTTAAAAAAGGCTCTGGAATAACCTTTCATAGGTAAGTGATCACTTCATTAAAAACATGGCATAAATAAACAGTTTTGCATGATAAAATCCGAACGCAGAAAGCCACAGTATGACTTAACTCTTAAGCGTGTATTTGTACATCAATCCCATCTATTCATTTCCATGTTTGTGAAGTCTTTTCGCTCAAGCTCAGCTCAATGACATCGGCTGTGAACTATCAAAAATATTGAATTCCACAGAGCTGCAAAGTTTTATAAACCGATAATATCGAATACATGATATCCAGAAAATACTGTACTGTTTATTTTGGATTTCATTGGGGCATAAGCAAGTCACTTTCTTTGTTTGACTTTGTCAAGTTTGTGAAACTTGGTTTAAGTCTTAACTCTTTAAGAAGATTAACTTGAACTATGAACATGTTGCATCGCGCTAGTATTAATAGTGACACAATTTCCCGTGATTCGCCAGACTTTCAAGCATTATTGTAAGAAATTTACTGGAATTTACTCAAAATTTATACCTTAATTTTGGACATTTAAATTGTTAATGTAAACACAAAAATTTGCTTGGATCATGTTCTCATGCGGAAGCGCTCCAAATTCGTATTCAATTTTGAGAGTCATTTTGCCAGGAAGGGGTATCTACCTATTATTGTGCATACATTTTTATTTTGAATGTGTGCTGTAGTGACAAAATGGGCAAAAATATCTGAGCTGGACAATAAAATTACAAAACTGTTCTCCATGTGTTGTGATTTTGTTGCTAAAACCATACCCCATTTTAATTAATATTTATCGGTTTAATTTTGTTTCCTTCATTCATTTCAATCATAGGTTTCCCAAATCTGGTTCAGCCCTTCTGAAAGAATGGCTCATCAAGATGAGAAGGGACAAGTGGATACCTAATAAGTATTCAACCATGTGCTCCGTCCATTTTGAAGAAGTTTGTTTCGACCGCACTGGCCAAACAACCAGACTCCGTGAAGGTTCTATTCCGACCATTTTTAACTTTTCTGCACATCTCAAAGAGGTAAGCAGGAACACATATTTTTTTATGTATGGGGTATCTACTATGATTATTGATTGTTGAACATCAAATATGCCCCTTTTGATACATTATGTTTCAAAGTGGGGGGGGGGGGGCACCAAGAAAAAAGGGCACCTACAAAGGGAAATCTCAAAGCAAAAATATATAATTTTTTAGACATTGGTGTATACCCCTACATTGTAATTACAATACTCAGGGTTGATTTCAATATTTGTTTCACTTTATACGCCATACAAGATATTGCTTAAGCATCATGCTATGCAGTTGGGTTTGATTGCCTAAAAATTGATTGCAAGCGAGCGAAGCGAGCAAGGAAAAATTTTAAGATGTGGTAGGTCACAGTGCAAAAAATTACATCTTATAAAGAGGAAAAAACCCAATCCTAATGGGGTTATAAGCACATTCTTATAACGGAAGACTTAAAAGACCTTTGATAAGTAACATAATATATCATCTATAGATGGGTGCGAGGGTCGCGAGCGAGCTTTGGGCGAAATTGCTCTTAGGGCGCGTTCATGCTTGATTTTGACGGCCAGAATCAGGCATCTGTTACGCGTTTAGTTTAAAACACGGTTGCGTCTTAGCTCACTTTTGTAGAATCACCGAAAAACGGCGATCACGATCGCCGATCGTAAACTCACAAAAAGATGCGTTTACAATTTGTAAACGCGTTTAAATGGGGTCAACGCACTGACCTCTAGTGGGTCTACGTAGCATGCACAGTGAAGGTTTGCGAATCCAGCTGGAAGACCAATTAAGGCCACACACTGAGAATTGCCTGGGGGAGCCAGAGAAGTAAGCATGAACACTACATCGTGGAACTGCGATCACGATGAGCGTTTACGATGAGCGTTTCAGATCGCTCATTCTGCCTTCAAAATTTAAGCATGAACGCAGCCTTAGTCACTTGAAATTACCTAGGGGCGTTTAATGATGAGAGGAAAAGGGGACATTTATCAGGAAAGAAAAGGAGCATGTGCCAAAGTACAAAGAGTAATTATCAGAGGTGAAAAGGATGCACTCACCAGGGATGAAAAAGTCATTCATGGGAATAGGAAATAGGCATTTGTCAACGGAAAAGGGGCCCCATCAGATTTTGATAGATTATGAAAAAGGGATAGGTCCCTCATTAGAAAGGAAAAGGGGCAAGTATCATTCTTAAAAGGGAAAGTATCAGTGATGAAAAGAGGCACTTGTAATCAAGGAAAATGTGCATTAGTTGAAAGAAAATGGGCACCGATCAGATTTTAAAGCGGCATTTATCGGAGGGGAAGGGGGCACTTATCTAAAGTGAAAAGGAGTAACTTCTCGTACCTGAAAAGGGTCATTTACCAGAGAAGGGGCACTTATGAGAAGGGGAAGGGGCTCCTTTTTTTATGGGGCACTCATTATTAGGAAAAGGGGCACTTATTAGAAAGGAAAAAGGGCACATGTGTAAATATAAGGTGCACTTGTCCGAGTTAAAATGGGGGAGGGGCACTTCTTACAAAGGAGGGGCAATTTTCAAAGTAAAAGAGGCACCTCTCAGATTTAAATAGGAGAATAATCAGAGGTAAAGGGTGCACTTATCAAAAGTGAAAAGAGGCACTTCTCATACCTAAATAAGGGCACTTACTAGAGATTAAACAGGGCACTAATGAGAACGGAAAATGGACACTTATTGCAAAGGAAACTGGGAACTTATCGAAAGAGAAAAGGGGGTTGTGTCCAAATAAAAAAGGGCACTTATTAGAGTCGAAAAGGGGAAGGGGCACTTTTACAAATTAATAGGGGCACTTGTCAAAGTAAAAGGGGCACTATTGCTATGTAAAAAGGGGCACTTCTTAAAAAGTAAAAGGGGCACTTTTCGGGTGCTTGAAAAAGTGTGGGGGGCACTGTGCCCCCCCCCCCCCCCCGGGAGGACCACCTCTGCCAACATTGATATTCCATTCTGAAAATTACATTGCATTAAGTGTAACACCTAACAAGATATGATTTATCTGACTAGCTTTAACATAATTTATATACCTATCATGTTAATGGCATATCCTGATCATTGCTATCAGGTAAGCATCTGAATAGCTTTAACATTGTTAAATTGCTTAAGATCATTTGCTTCTTAAACCAGCCAAATCTCATTAATGTATGAGGGTTTCAAATCACAATTTGAAAAAATATAAATGAAAAGTTTACCAAAATGTATGGATAGTTAGATACATTGTACCTTTATCTGTCTACTTTTTTTCTTCTAATCTTTTACTTTCTCAGAAAACAAAAACAAAAAAACCAGGCAGAGTCAGCCGTAGAAAACAGCTTGTAGATGTGGACAGTCGGACAGATGCATCGAGTGATCGGCAAAGCAGCGACCAAGAACTTTTAATAAATGAAGAACCTGTTGCAGGCAATATTGAAAGACAGTTTCCAAATTCAGAGAGTCAAGTAAATGCCTTGAATAATCTCAGAAACGTTAAACAAGATGGTATCTTGAAGGAAGACAAAACAAAAGTGAACAAGGAAAAGCAACTCCCAGATAAAGATAGTCGGATAAGAACATTGCTTGAAGGGCATAGCTTTATCAAGGATGGTTTCTTCTATCACGCTAAACCCTCTCCGATTAGTGACATCAGTAGAAACGAAAGAAAAAGGATAAACAGAATCAAACAGCACGATCACTCATACAGCATTAGAGATAATCCTGTGGTTTTGAAGCACAGGATGGATGTCGCCTGCACCAAGATGGCTGAAATCAGGGCTAAGTTGAAAAATCACTATAAAAAGAACAGAAGGCTGTCTGTAAAGATTAAAGTTTTGACGAGAGAAGTGCAGGAGCTAAGGGATGGACAGTTTGCAATTAACAATACTTTGAAGTTTCTAGAGTCTCTGGAGTATAGGCCCGACTTCGGCACATGATTTCAAGCCTGATTTCTTAATTTTCTTAGATTTCTTGTTTATTTTGTGTCATGAAATTAATTCACCATATATAGTATACTGCATCTCTTTCAAAATAGGTTTTTAGTTATCAAGAACAAGACAAAGTGTTTTGATAAGTTTTAGCTACAGAATGTTTTCTTTCTTGCAGGGAACATTTGACACATGACCATAAAATATTTGTTTAATATTGTTAGAAGGTGTATCCAAATACCTTAAGTTAAAAACATGCTGTCTTATAGTAATTAAAAAAACTGTTTGAATGGAGATGAGCCCTTAATCTTACCATGTATTCAAATATACATCAAATCATTTTTCTACATCTAAATCATATCTAAATCTTTAACTCTCATACTTCATTGGGAACCTACAATTTTTAAATGGTTCAATTTTTATTTTGGATGTTATGTATGGGTTTCATCATTGTCCTATCTATATTATTGAAAACTACCAATGTATTTAGTTAATATTATTATTTCATTTTTTTGTCTTAAGGTATCATCATAGATTCCCCCCTAAATGTACGGTATAACTGCCACTTAAATGAGGGTACAAACGGATGATGTTGATCGAATATGAACGATTGTTTTAATTATTCTCCAACAGTGCTGTGAAACTGTAGACAAACAATGCACAGAATACAATAACATCAATTAATCAGATCAAAGTAGGATCTATGAAATAGTCTATACTTATGTCCAGCCAACGAGGTGAGTCAGGACAGAGAAAGTTTCAAAGAATTATTTAATCATAAAGTTACAATGTTTAATTTTAAGAGTCAAGAGATATATTATTGTTAAATTGTCTCACTACTCGGTCAAGTCAATGTCAGGAAGTTGAGATGTAGAATTTACATTTGTTATTATACGCAGTATAATATATTAGTAGATATTTTTAATTCATTAGGCTTTTGACTTGTGGTTCGATAAGAGGTACTTCGTTCGGTTTGCCCTCTTCTTTGATCTGCCTATAGTGATAATGTCCAGCCAACGAGGTGAGCTGGCGGCAGCCACATACGGTACTTCTTCTTTGAAGAGTTTTGCCCTTATAAGTTCATTATGATAGACTCTACACATTTGCAGAGCTATTATTTTATAGTCCATTTTTACATACCTCAGTTTGCACTTAATACCAAAGAAAACGATACCCTTTTTAATTGTTTTATCCATAAAATTATTTCTTTCTTGTAAATTGTTATACTTGAAGTGTTAGCTAATTTCTAAGACTTAACTCTTTCCCTTTTGAAAGACTACCGTAAAGCTATTTTTCTAAGTGTTTTGCAAGGACTGTTTATGAACTACCATTCATGAATCATTCTTGTTTGGGAATTGATAAACTTTCCATCTGACTGTTCAATGAAATATTTTGGCTGATATTCGACACATCTTCTGTATTATCTCTCTTATTTACCTCTCCTTTCTAGATCTCTTTCTCTATATTTCAATTTTTTCTCGATTATCATTTAAAATTTCCCCATTTTTAATTCTTTTTATTTCGTTTTCTCTCCCTTTCTCTTCTCATTTTTTTCATTCTAGCTTATATACCCTCTCTGTTTTTCTTTCACTCACTTTCTCTTTATTCCTTTTCATTGTTTTCTCTTTTTCAACACCCTACCTCAGCCGGCTTTTAGTGTTACCAAATATCTGTGTGTATGATTACCTGCTTATTCTTATCTAATAAAACTAGAGTGAAGCTCCATATTCATGACACGTTTATTAATGTAGCTCTCTTTATTTCAATATGAATGATCGTAATTAGTCCGTGCTTTTGTTGTTTCTCATTGAATGATAGAATATATGAACAGTCATTGTCATTACACAACACAAGGGACATGTAAACAAAAAATTGTTATGAATGGTATACAAATTTGCTAATTTAAGAAATGTAGAAGATAATGCAAATTTAGACGAAAATTATAACTTTGGACTGCTTGGTAACAACAAAAACCAATTGTCATCTGTTGTTGACTTTACTTGCTAGTGGTAATTTCGTTCCATTTCAGTCATCAAATATTTGACTCGGCTAGCCAAGACGTAGATTTGCGAGGGCGTTTAACAAATACAATTATCTGAAGAACTCCATTTGTTGACGTCAATTTGTCGTTATCCTTCGGTTGTTGGGTCCACTGTGAGTAGTAACCAATGGCAAAGTCTTAACTTAGCCTTAATCAACTTTGTTGATGCATTGTATCTGTGTAAGAATTGTGATTTTCAAAATGATTCCTTTCATTTGAAATGAAGTTCAATAACGTATCAACTATCAAGCCAGAAACAAAAAAATATTGTGATCGGAAGAGTGTATCCACCCCCTTTCGTTTCCAGGCGTTGGACATTTTTTGAAACTTTAGGAAATATATTTTAGTTTAAATTAGTTTGGTGTAGCAGTAGCAGAAAAAAAACTGTCACATTTTCTTGTAATAAAAACTCATTTCTTTATATAGAAAACTTAGACAATCATGAAAAGTATACTTTTCCTCTAATATTTGTAGATGTTTCATTGAATGCGAGGGACGTTTAAGAAACCATTAACGTCATCAACTAATTGTCAAGGGCACATATTTCTAGGGTACCGTAAAAAACAACCATCAACTACATTTGTTGATCCTATATAGAAAACTTAGACAATCATGAAAAGTATACTCTTCCTCTAATATTTGTAGATGTTTCATTGAATGCGAGGGACGTTTAAGAAACCATTAACGTCATCAACTAATTGTCAAGGGCACATATTTCTAGGGTACCGTAAAAAACAACCATCAACTACATTTGTTGATCCTTTATTTACAAAAGCACCAAGAAACATTCCACTTAAGTGCACTAATATTGACAAGATCTTCTCGATCTCCCGGACAACTCAGAGCAGTAGCTGTTTCTCTGCATTTTATTCCAAGATAAACCGGTAATTATCTAGTTAGTACAATGTCAAGACAAACATACTATTTATGCTACCGAGACTAGTTGGTATATCTTACAGACACTGGTATTAAAAGGTTATAGATAGCTAGAGAGCTCGGGATTTAGACGCATTTTCAACTCTGGTGGTGGAAAGGAAAGAGGTATGTATTTACAGTGATTCTTGTCATTATGATCATTCATCCATTCCTTCCTTTATTCATTCATTCAACAATAATTTTATTAAGGGCACTTAAAATTGGCTGAATCAGTAATGTCAATGTGACGTAGTGCCGGACAACTTTCCATTTGTTTCAACAAACAAAATAACTAAAAACGTCAATGTTCCGAAAGGTTTGACGCAGTGGGTCTCTTCTTTTCAGAGGCCCTATATTAATATCCATAATATATTTTGAGAAGTGCCCCAAGGGAGAAGGCAGTTTTTAACGATATTTTTGTAGACGACAAACGGGAGAGTTGTCCGTGTAGACGTCAAAATCCTCGACAAAATCGCCAAGTTGAGATACAGATTAAGTGATCTCATTTCAAACATTAAAAACTCTCTTATAATAGGTTCGATTTACTTAAAAATTTCGCCATTCGGTTCCTCTTCTTTTTTTGTTTTCATATACTAATGAACTTATTATCAGAATTTGATAGCCCTTAAACTGTTTTATATTTTTCTCTTGGCAGTAAAACATGACGAGATTGAACATCTTTGCTTTGAGCCTCTTCGCGTTCATCTCTGTATCTACAGCATGTAAGTCATATGATCGTCTTTAAAGCCATTTTCTAAAATCAACTGAATGTGTTATAGACTAAATAAAAGATTTACGGATAAGTATACAGCAAAACTAATATCATTTTCAATAGTATTACACAAAGAGGACGCAACAATATTATATTTTAACACACTAAAATTCTTATTTCACTTTAAATTTTCCGATCAGATATGCATTTTCCCAACAATATGAGGTTGATTTACACACAATGTAAGACCGCAAAACATCTGTATATAAAATAACTTTTACAGTTGCTTAGGGTAAAGATGAGGTGCATTTTTGTTTACATGTTTTATGTAAACGAGCAGTAAGTTCAATTTATTTATTGAGAATTACAATTAGACACTTTTTCTTACAGGTTGGACCGTTGGAGGCATTTTTTGGTTTGATTACATGATCATGAATGTGATGACAAGAAACCTAGGCCTAATCTGCACTTAATCATCGACTTTGAGAGTTTTTTCATTTTTTTCATTTTCTTCCACTTTAAACAAAAACCAAAAGAAAACGAACAAAGTCACATAACAAACAGGAGGTGGAAAATAAAATTAATTCATGGTTTTGATCTGGCTACTTTTGAGAAATAAAGGTATAACCTTACATGCATGCGTTGGTAGAAGAAGTAACAATTTTTAACCAGGGAGCATTCCAGATTCGTTTAACAGCGGTAAACAGTTACCTGTTTTATCATATTTAATTAACCTTCAGGACAGCACATTGTTGAATAATTTGGTTGTCAGAAATATCTTCTAATCACCCTCATACAATCTCTCTCTCTCTCTCTCTCTCTCTCTCTCTCTCTCTCTCTCTCTCTCTCTCTCTCTCTCTCTCTCTCTCTCTCTCTCCCTCTAATTATGTCTGTATCCATCTGTATTTCTTTCTCTATTTCTGTATATCTCACCAAGTACGTTTCAATAGGCTATCTGTCTTTCTCTAATTTGTTTCGCTCGCCGACTGTCACGTCCCCTCCCTCTTCCCCCTCCCGCTTTTGTTTAGTCTTAAGTTCTTTCTTTCGTTCTTCTTCTTCTACTTTATTCCCTTATATCCTTCTTTGTTTCTTTTACTTTTTTTGTATAACGGTAAAAATGTATTCTGGCATTTACAGTTTAATTTTTTTCAGGTGGGTAATAATTTTTTTCTTCTTTTCACACAACCGTGGAGACTGGTTGTTGGTGAAATACCAACTCATCTATTCATTCGCTGTTTTATCTTGGGATGTACTATTCTTCTCTTAGATGTGACATGTCCTGATGACTGGACGAGACATGGGTTCTCCTGCTACTATTTCCGATCGTGTGACGTAACGTGGGATGATGGTGAACGAGAGTGCCTGGCTCTTGGTGGCCATCTTGTTTCTATCGATACCAGGGCCGAGATGGCCTTTGTCGAGAATCTAGTAGCTGGAGAGAAAGGACCGGTGAGTTAATTTACAATAACAGAACACGTCATAAACTATGATTTAAAAAAAAAATACATTAAAAAAAAATCTTTCACTTAAATGTCGAAAGATTGTCTTTTTTGCCATTCCGTTGCTTGATTACAAAAATCAATTAAAACTGAACTCGTACTTGCCAGGTGCTCAGAAAGAATCAGATGTAACTGTTATGTTTCAAATTTACACCGAAAAACAAATAAACACACAAACAGTAGAATTAAAAAATGGGAGGGGCCCACCACCACTCTCCTCAAACATTCACAATAAATGAAATCTCAACATGCTTAACCCATAAAATTTGCATCCATTTAGTTTCTTAATCCTTGCATTCCTTAACCCATCTTTTGACACCGAAGTAACGAGAATAGGGCTTATCGTTATGGAGTCACGGATATTTTATTTAACTGTATATTCCTCGGAGTGACATCTCTTGCCCAAATATCAATTTTCTTGTTTCTACAATTTGCGAGCGAACAAGAAATTTATCGTAGTGAAAATTTAAATTCCAACACTTAAAATATAAGATTCCCAATCACGATGCGCCAAAAAGTAAGGTAATGATTGATTCATACTGTTATAAATAAGCCTACATTTTCCAGAATTTTCGGAGACTGTATCCCCAAAGCCCCCGTCTCCTACGCCCATTACCTCATTCCATTCTTCACTAAATTTGTGTTGGGTAAGCTATAGTATAAGTGCTAACTTCGTCAAGATTTGGCATTCCATTTTTACAAGTCTTAACCCCGGTGGGGTCACTCAATGTGACTTCCGGACCGCATGATCGTTACCATAATCGCGGGAAAAGGGGTAAATTTCAAGCAATGTCCGCGGACAAAATATTCCTCGAAATAAAGAAAATAGGGGTGCACAGGTGTCCCCGAAATTGATAAATAGGGGTCAGGAAAAGGGAAAAGAGAAAACCGGGAAGGGAAAAGAGAAAACCGGGAAGAAACTTATTTAGATTTCTTCTTTTGTACCCGATTATATAAATATTGACGAAATCCAAAACTGTGGATTTAGTTTCCATAAATTGATTGGATTTGTATATATTTATTCCTTTCATTCCTTTTTGTCTTCTTCAAGTTCTGGATCGGTCTGAACGACAAGTACCGTGAGGGTCAGTGGTTCTTCACAGACATGAGGCGTCTTCGTCCCGAGCTGGGGCCTCTCTGGGGTGCACACGAGCCCAACAACAATGGTGATGAGGATTGCGTCATGTTTCCTCATGGTGCTGATAAGAAATGGAATGACGCCAAGTGTGATAGCAAGTACAGCTTCATCTGCGAGATTGAAAAATTCGGTGAGACACAAAATGAGGGTCATCATGACAATCGACAATTAGACGGATCTTCGGAACGTTTTATAATTTTTATAAATTTTATAAATTCTGTGCTCAAATTTCCAGAATATCGAATTGAAAATATGAAAAAAATGTAGATTCAACTTTTTGTTTATAGGGGTTTACTACAAGAGATAATATTTCTTTCAACAACAACAAAAATATTTTCGATCTGTTACCCCTCTTCGATGAACATTTTTCTTAGGGGGTGCGCCCTTAAAATGTTCCGATAATTTTTTTTATCATTTTGTTCGAAATCCTCGAATTCTCATTTTCTGTAGCATAACATGGTTTCAGTCATTGAAGAGGCACTAGAGTCATTGGTGGAGGGGGGGGGGACACACCGATCGACCCTCATTTAGTTAGATTAATACAAATCAAGAGCATTGAGTAGGGAAGGGTGTGGAAGGACGTCATGCCCCTCTATTTTCTTTTCCCCTTTAATTCCTTTAATAAGCGAAAAGCCATGCAAATGTTATCTCCTTTTCTAATTAATGTCGACCATAGGTTGCCCCGACGGATGGGGAGAGTACGGGGACTCCTGTTACCACCAGGTCGTATCGCCCAAGGTCAACCAGTTCGACGCCCAGACCCACTGCCAGTCCATCCATCAAGACTGCAGTCTGGTCAAGATCGACAACCACGACGAACAGGCTTTCCTAGAGAGCTTCTTCGGAGAGAGTTGTGCCGACTGGATTGGTCTCCTGGGAGAGGTAAGGATGTAACACATTGTGATATTTAGGGGTTGGACGGAGGTGGCTACGCCTCTTTGGTAAAAAAAAAATCGCCTCTTTTGATCGACCTGAGGAGGATTGTGGGAACTTTTAAAAATCGTTATTCCAAGGAGATGAAAATCATGTTTTAAATAAAAGGTATTGTTATTTATGTTCCACGTTTCTGATAATCTTACTTCTTCCCTTATAAAAGTGGAGCGTCAGAATTTGTTAATGGTGACGAGTATCATCTTTCCTCGGGAGGGCTTCACGCGGAACTCACCTGTAAAATAATATACGAGAAGAGAAAGAATTGTTATCCTGATGAATTGATTCTACCAGTACAGGCAAAACATTTCAAAAGAGTATACTAAGTACTATTAAACAATCGGGTGGCTATGAAAGTCAAACTCGGCAATTCTTAAAGGGCTGGGCTCTATTAATTATAGTTTTAAATTTACGAATTAAATACATACATCTACATGGGTTGTGTATATTTCTGCAACATTGTAATTTCAGCTTTGACTTTAAAAAGTCCGATATTCAAATTTTCAGGTAAACGCAAACGCAAACTCAAACGCGAACGGCGTCTCTGCCTCACACCATCATCACGATCATGATCACGACGACGCCAACGACGACAACGACGGAGGAAACGGTGGCGGAAACAGTGGTGGAAGTGGCGAATTCTTAACTCGCGATTATTTCTTCACCGATGGCCAGCCGATGGTGCACGACTTCTGGAAGTCGAACGAACCCAACTTCGACAAGGACAACGACCGCGTGTGTGCGATTCAGAAGAACACTCTGGGGTGGAATGATTACGGTTGCGGCAACGAGATGAGCTACATTTGCGAGTTAAAGAAACCAAGCTTCTAAGAAATTTGCTTGTTAAGTGTTAAGTCTGCCCTCTGAAAGTACAGGAAGGGAAATGCATTCTTTTAGAAGTCATTCTAAAGAGGGGTCATTTCGTTTCGGGTGGGAATTCACGCTAAGAATAATAATTGAATACACTCTCAAAAGAGTAATTAAACCACTCCTTTGGAATTGATTCCACTCTAAGTTAGAGTGTTTTCAACTCCTGAACAAAGTGATCCCTAGTATGACTTCTGGATTTCCACTTTTCTGCTGTCAGAGAGTAGGTTTTTAGCACTGATGTCATATATTTGATTTTAATTTAAGAGGTGCTGAGAGTAATTTATGCTAAAGAGCATCAACGAAACAAAATATCAACTGTAAGAAAATGGTGATGATTTTTTTTTTCTTTGTCAATAAAAAAGATTATTCAAATGGAATGTTAGCAAGCCTTCTTCCAAACAATTATAATTTCATTGCATTGGTGTAGTCAAGATTATCTTTCCCTTATAACAAGAGAATTTCAGTAAGCACGTTTTTGAACATTAATCAATATAGATCTGTGTTTTGAATCAAGTTTATATTGTACCTATTTTGCCCTTTTGTATCAAATAAAGTTATTAATACCATTTAGATAATTTGTCACAACTTAGTAGTGCTCTGTCTGTCTCTTCTAATACACCTCAAATGTAATATTTATATATTGTAATCATTATTTACGACAAACTGTGTATATTCCTATAAAAGAAGCCAAATACTGATTCAACAAAATGTTAACACCGTCATTTCCATTGAAAGATTTTGACAATCATTGAATCACAATCTAGAAATAAATAACAGCTCCCTAAAACAATGTTCCTGATTACCCTCGGATCGTTAACCCCATTTTGATTACATTTAGGATGGGAATGCATTAAAAGGCTAAATTGTAAAATGTGTTATCTTGGGGGAGGGGGAGGTAACTTCATTTTTAAGCACTGTTAGATGGGGACGTAGTGCCAAAGTTATTTGAACTAAGTTCTCCTGCAGGGAATTACTGCGATTGCAATGGCGCCCACTGCTGGCAGTGGGCCGAACACGAAATCTCCTCCCTCCTCCACATCCCCGGTCCACATCCCTCCCCCGCCCTTTCTTCCTCTCCCTCTCTCTCTCTCTCTCTTTCTCTCCCTCTCTCTTTCTCTTTTTTCTCTCTCTCTCTCTCTTTTAACTTTTCTCTCTACATTTTCTCTCTCTTTCTATTTTCTCTCTCTCTCTCTCTCTCCTTTCTCTCTCTCTCTCTCTCTCTCTCTCCCTCCCTCCCTCCCCTCTCTCTCTCACTCTCTCTCTCTTTCTCACTCTCACTCTATCTCTCTCTTTCTCTCTCTCTCTCTCTCTCTATCTCTCTCTCTCTTTCTCTATCTCTCTCACTCCTCTCAAAGACTAACAAAGTAATGATGACGCAGGTGTTTTCCCCCTTTCTTACACGATCGTTAGATCGTTTTCACAGGAACATGAATAGAACTGATTACAGGGGCGGGGGTCACATGCAGATATGGCAAAATGGAAGTTATGAAATGTTACATATTTTTTGCGTTTTAACATTAAGATGCGGTTTGTGTAGGTCTCTAATATGCTTCGATTTCTTACTCGGGGTACATTTATGAGTTTGAAAGTTAGTTTGAATTAAGATGATCGTCTCCAATCAGTGTCTATTCTGTGAGAACAAAAAAAGTTGTCAAAGAACTCTTTGGACATTTTCCTTGAATATTATTGCTTCATAATTTTCACATTTTTAAAACGTGGGTTACCGGGGCACTTCGCTGGAATTGTTCTCGTCCAGACAGAATACACTGTAAAGAAATAATTTATATCTTCGGAGAAAAAAAAATAGATAAAACGAATCAAATATTTGAATAAGATATCATCCAATATAAAGATAGCGAAAATAAATATTAACTATATCATTCAGTCACCTTTGTTCACTAAAATAATGCACTTCGACTTTGTGACGACTGTTTTAGTGAGCTTTGATTACGGATCCATTTGTGCGCGTGTGTGTGTGTGTGTGCGTGTGTGTGGATGTGTGCGTGTGCGCGTGTGTGTTTGTAGGCGACGATGTGTGTTTGTTTCAATATTATAGGCCTCAAACAAAAAATTAACACAAAATGTAAATGTTAGCATTTATAATCGATTTAATGAATAATTTTACTGACGATTTCATATATCTATCCGATTACATCTGCTACAAATGTTTTGATTTCTAAGTGCCCCTTCCCCTTGCCCGGGCGTCATCTCGAAAATACGCGGTCATTTGAATTGAGCCCCCAAGCCCCCAACACCCCCGGTTCGACAGGCCCAGCCCTGCTTTACTAGCAATCATAAATGGTAACATCCAAGCCAATTAATCATCGGATACACGCAATCATGCTGCAAATTAAACATGCTCTTTCTCCTCCTATTTTTAATATATTAATGACCCACTTATATTATCATGATATTGATTAGGCAAAGTGCCCCTTGCCCTGCACATTTTTGTACCTTGTACGTTGTATACATGGGACTAAGAGATAAGGAGAATGTGACAATATAATTATCACACGTACGTCATTTTCATATTGCTGTAATCAAAGCAATGCATCGTTTTTAATCATAGAACACTTCATATCTGCGTTTCGCCTGTGCATGATTACCATACGTTGTTAAACAAAAGGATATTACGAATTGAAATCGATTTCTTTGGATGAACTTAGTCATTTGTCATACGTACCAAAGATCAAGGGTGAGAAACACATCAGTTTATTATATCTTTTCTTTTTGTCAGATAACTGATTTTCTTAAATTAAACTCTTGAACACGATTGCGAAATCTATCAAAAAATCCAAGGGCAATATGATTTATACCTTATCAAACTGAAAACTGAAAAATGTCAATGTCATGTTCGCATATTTCAAAAGGCCATGCATACGGCTATTTATACATTGCGATCGTTAACCTTATTAAATTGTGTTTAATGTTGCGATAGAAGCAGCTAGAGTAAGGAGGTAAGTCATTTTTAAAATGTAGACCCCCTACAGCCCCCAAGTATACGCTGTCGATAATCGTCTTACTACGTAATATAAACCTATTTGTCCTTTATTCCATGACCGTATTAAAAGGATTAGAGTAACTACATGCATATCTCAGATGAGCTCTCACTTCTATCTGGACTAAAAATAATAGAAACGTGCTGTAACACCAATCAAAACGATTTCTTTGACGCGATGCCAATTTTATATCTCTACGTCCCTCTCAAAATGAACAAAAAGAGATTTGATATTCAATGAGACCAAGGCACTTGAAAAGAACTATTAAAGATAAAAGTTGAGTACCGGTCAAGTGATTGCATTGTCACAGAAACTGTGACTAAAAAAATCTAAGAAACTAAAACACAATAGGGTGCGGTAGGAAGGAATTGGTTTATACTAAGACACTTTCGATTCATCAAAATAGCGAACTCACTCTTGTAAAAAGTTACATGCACTTCACTCAGAAATGGGTATATGGGACTACACGTGCGTGTGGCATGAACATGGGGTCCAAACGTTTCAGCTATTTCTTGTCCGCATATCTGGCACATAATGAATAATAAAAATATTTATTAATATTTATATTTCGCATCCCAGAGGATGCCCAAGACGCCTACAATGTAATATTATTACCCTGGCTTTGGCCCAGCTTTTCGAAGACGCTAAAAGCATGGAAGGAATAGATTCCTACAAGGTATTCATCTGGGTGGAGAGTAGGAAATGTAGATTAATATCTTGCCAAAGGACGTTAATGCCGCGGTGGGACTCGAATCGCGAACCATGTGATTCACAGTCCAATGTCTTGGATATATACTTGACCACGACAGCCCTTTATATGGGGCATTTGGGGAGCAGTTTTTTTTCAGGGGTATTTCTACTATGACATTATTTTGTCCGAAGTGACATAAACAAGAATAAATAAAGAGCTCAACAATTATTTAAAACTTTTACCTGAACTAAACCCTTTTCTCTTTTTTAGTTAATTCTAATTTACCATTGATGGCATTTCTGTCATGATTTATGAATAATTGAGGAGAAAATTGTATATTGTAATTATTCTTTCCATCTCATTGTATTATGTTTTATTCAATCATTTTTAGTACTATCAAATCAATTCCGCTTAATCATTATTCCACTTTCCATATCCATACCAAAATATTCTGTCACATTCTTCTTCTTCTTCTTCCAGTTAAAGGAGTCACACCAAGAAGCAAAAGTGTATTGAATTGATGCAAAATTCATATCATTGCGAAGGGGAAGCCTTACTGATAAAATACAACAAATTTCCTCTTCAAAATATGTTTGGGGCCCGCAGAAATCCAGATTTACTGCCTTCAGCAGTCCTTCGTATGACGTCACTATTGTGACGTCACACCCTGGACATGGCTGTCTAGCTGCATACTCGCATACACGCGCATACACGCATACACGCGCATACACGCGCGACTCCGGTATGCGGCCGGTACCGAGCTGTTTGTCCAGGGTGTGACGTCACTATTCAGAGCTCGCTACGCTCGTGTGTTTGGCTTACGTTCGGGGGCGCTTGGGGGTCTAAGAAGGGTCTTGAAAAATTGCATTTTTACTCCTTTCCATAATATCTATATGATTTCTTAGCAAATAATTCGTGTTTTTCAAGAGAAAATCTTTCCATCCATATGTAATTTGTTCTAATTATCAGTTGTTAGTAAATTTTCTTTGTGTAGCTCCTTTAAGTAGTGACCGCCGTTGGCGTATTATCGTACTTGTGCTTGTCGAGTGCTTCATCTGTGATAATGCTCATAATTTACAGTATGCCTAGAAATTGAACAAAAATTTAGAAACACATACACCTTTTATCTCCAGTTCAGTTAACTAGTTTAGCTCAAGGCCTTCTCGTTTGCCTTCTTTCATGGTCCATCCCCTATAGTGACGTGGCATATGCCAAGATAATAAGGGGACACCCTTTTTTTTTGGGGGGGGGTAGTTACTGGTAATAACATTTGAACAAAACATGAATAAGCAACGCTACTGATTTAAAGGAAAGCGTGGGAGTAATCCTTATGATAGTTTATTCACGTTCCTCTCGATTTATCCGTCTCTCTTTACGGTATGTTATCTCATCGTTCGATAGGGGCACGTACCCTTTTGCCCCCTGTAGCTACGCTATCCTTTCCACTACAGCTTCACCTTCAAAACCAGTTTTTCTCTTCCAATTGGCGTCGTCGAGATAGAATATCCGGTCGATTGCTCAAACTGGAGCAACACAATCTATTCAAGGAAAATTGGTCGCAGATCACTGCTGCTCGGTAACATAACATGCGTCAAGACATTAAGGGGCATTTGGTGGTGGGTGGGGGGGGGTGGTCTTTTTTCATGACTAAAATGTGAGTTACAAGGCCAAAGCGTTCAGTGGAAGTGTGCAGGAGGGTTGGTGTCATCTTCTTTTCTAGTCATTCCGTATCCATTTCATTATATTTTATCTCTTTATTTATTTTCCTTCTTTTTTTTCTCGTCATTCATGTATTGAAAAAAGGGTACGTACCCCGTGTCTGACTTAATTACGCCCTTGCCGATGCTGCAAGCTAAAGCTGGGATGAATGATGTTGAAAA